GGAGGACTAAGAGGTGGTTAGGATTTGGGAATGAGACTCAGAGTGCAGCATTTACAGGAAGAGAGCAGGAGCAAATGTGCAAAGGAAGGAATTGGTATGACGGGAGAATCAGTGAAAATGTTTGGAATTGTCACCACGCTCCTAGCAGCACCATTCATTTATCAGTGCTTCCATATCAGATTATATGTAATCTCTAGCAGTTAATAGTCACCTTTCACATGGATAAACCAAGTTCAACATGATTAACTCTCACAAGATTGTGTGGTCAAATTGATAGCAATGCTGCAATTAAAATTCAACATGGATCCTTATTTGGTCTTTTAAATGAATGACCCTTTATAATTATGAAATATTTCTCTTTATCTGTGGTTCTCAAACTAACATGAAGCCCAGTCACCTGGAAGGCCTAAGAATACAGACTTAGGCTGAGGGTGGGACGTGAGATTTGCATTTCTAATAAATTTCTGACAAGGGATATTGATATTCCTGGGCCAGGGGCTTCTCTTGGAGAAACAGAGCTCCATCTATGTCCTTGTTCTGTGGTCTACTGTGTCTGTGATTAATACATCTACGTTGCCTTTTGTAGGACTACCGTTCACATGGAGTGAATCATTCCCCTATCAATGCCTTTTAAAGAGAATTTCTGATAGGTGGGAAACAGTTTCAGTCTATCAATTTCTTTATTTCAGTAGGAATGTTTAGATGATTTATAATTAATGTAATTATTCATATGACTGGACTTAGGTCTACCATCTTGCTTTTTTGTGTTCTGCTTCCCCTGTCTGTTCTTTCTTCCTTTTTCTTCTTTTCATGAGTCCTTTTGGATGAGTAATTTTCAGCATCCTATTATATCACTATTACTGCTTTAGTTACTTAATCACTATGCACTTTCGTCTTTTTTTAGTGAATGTTTTCAGGATCATAATTTTCATCTTTAGCTTGTGAGAGTTTGCCTTCCCATATAAGAATCTTACAATTACATCTTCCTTACATCCTTTGTGGTATGTTATCATTCCTTCTATTTGGATATCTGTTATCCAAGTAAAACAACTCTGTAATACATTTTTGTTTCTCTGCTTCAAATAGTCAATTATTTTTAAGGAATTGTCTTTTCTGTTTACTTGGACTTTAACAATCATTGTGCTCTTCATTTGTGTTGGTGCAAGTCATGTTTGTTGTCATTTTCCTTACAGTTAAAGAACGTTAACATTTTTTGCAGGACTTGTCTTTGACAAATGTTGTTTCTCAGTAATTTCTTTGCTGAAGAAAAGTCTACATCTTAAAAAATTGAAAGTTATTTTCACTAGATGCAAGATTTTGGGTTGATGGCTTCTTTTCTTTCAATGTGTTAAATATGTCACTTCATTGGTTTCTGATTGAATCATTTCTGAAAAAGAGTCTTCAATCATGAAGAGCTTCTAAAGTTTTTCCCCTCCTCAGATCGTCCTTTATCAGGAGTATTCATCAACTTGTCTATGACTTGTTCTGATGTGGTTTTCTTTGTGCTTGTTCAGCTTGACATTATTGAGCTCTTTGAGTTTACAGATTTTATCAAGTTTGGAAAAGTTATTTCTTCAGACTTTCGCTCCTTTTTCTTTCAGGATGTTAATTGTATTCGATTTCACTTACTTTTTACTTCTGCAGCCTCTAGCTTCCCTTAGCCAGCTTGTTTTTCTTTTTTGAATTTTGCATTTTCCGGCTCAAGTTCCTTTTGTTTATTTTTGTGTCCTTCATTTCTCTCTGCATCATGTTCAAGTTTTCTACTAAACCCCTGAAAAAATTTCTAACTCTTTTAAAATATTTCTAATCCCTTTACTGCTTATGCTACCATAGGTGTCACTTTTACATGTTTCTATTGACTACTTTTTCTCCTGGTTGTAGGTTACATTTTCCTATTTCTATGAATGTCAGTGAAATTTTATTAGATGGTGGACACTATGGGTGTTAAATTGTTAGGTGTGTAGACTCTTTAAATTTTTTTTCTGTTTAAGTGTCTAATTTAATGTTGGAAAGTGGGGAAGTAATTTTCGGACCAGCTTAAACTTTTCAACATTTGATTAAGCTTTTGTAGGATGAGTCTAGGGTAGCCTTTACTCCAGGGCTAGTTAAGCCTACTATTAAGGGCACTTTTCTGATTGTCCCAGGAGTTCAATGGTGTCTTGCCACTCTGAATAGATCAAGCCCAAACTTCTCCCATCATTGTGGAATCCTTGAGAACAGTTCTGTTTTCAGCTTCCTGGCAGTGCGCATGGGGTTTAGTGTCTATCGATAGATTCAAGGGAACTCCTGCCCCAATTTCTGGAGCACTTTTTCTGGGTAGCTCCCTCCTCTTTCACATTCCTCCCTAAAAATTATAGCCACCTTTACCTTCCTGAATATTAATCCTCCTTTTCTCAATTCAAGAGACCACGGTGAGCTGGGTGCCAGTGACTCACTCATGTAATCCCTTCTACTCAGGAGGCAAAGATCAGGAGGATCCTGGTTCGAAGCCTACCCAGGCAAATAGTTTGCGAGACCCTGTCTCAAAAAAACCCACCACAAAAACAGCTGGTGGAGTGACTCAAGGTGTGGACTCCCTGAGTTCAAACCCTAGTACCAAAAAACACCACAGTGTTTTTCTGGTTTCCCTTCCCCTGTGCTATGGTCTGGAAATTACCTAAAAAGTAGAAAGGAGGGAAGATCTGGGGGCTTGCATAATTTGTTTCTCTTCTTTCCTTGACCATATTTCTATACCATATATATTCAGTCACTAATACCCAGTGACTGAAATCAGAGGTTTCAGACATTCTCCAGTTTTCAGTCACACCGGGAAGAAAAATCCAGTACTGGTTTCTCTAACATGGCCAGAAATGAAAGTGATCCTTAGATGTTATTTTTATACATCAACAAATAAAAGCGGTTGGATTTTAATCCCCATGAAGTAGGAGTTTTCCTGAATGAGTAAGGATAATCCTTTTTCTTTTGTATAGTATGACCATCTTAAAATGTTTTAATGTTTGGAACACCACCAGGCTATAATCTAGAAAATCCTTACAGAGTTTCAAAATAGCCTAGTCGCAGGTGTACACCCTCATAGAATCAGCTACCCCCCAGATCTGCTAGACATCCAGCCCTTCATTGTAAAGGCTCCTGCAATCTCCAAGCCTGGGGACATTTTTCCTGCATCAGAAGATACAGGAGGAAAATATTTCCCAGACTGGACATACACAGAACTAAGGCATTTTAAAGGCTTTTAATTGAAAAATCAAGTAAAAATGCAAAGTTTTATAGGGTGGAGTGCCAGGAGTTTGATCTGAGTGATATTTTTGCACTTTATAAAGCTGAAAGATAAGATCTCATGGCAATTAATAACATAAATTCCAGGGGCTGCGCGCATTCTTTGATTTTCAGTTCCAAGGCTATGTGACCTTGAGGAAGTCAGTCAAATTTTTCATGCCTCATTTCCCTCAATTGAAAAGTGAGAATTATAGTATTCCTCTTGTTTGTGATGAGGATTAAATGGATTATTTGTGTGTGTGTGTGTGTGTATTTTGCACCTAGATCAGTGCCAGACACATGTTTCACATTATAAGGAATTGTTTTAAAAAATTTGAAAAAATAAGACAGATGGAAATTAAGGGAAAATAGGTTCACTTTTTAAATCTTTGAAGGCATTGCTCATGAACACTTATGTCAACCACAATGGTATGCTCTGGGCTTTCACTCCTGAGACATGATTTAGGAGAAACTACTTCCTCCAGAATTACCTGAAGCCAAATACAACTCAACCCAGGCACCATTCTTTCAGTGTTGATCCTATAGGGAGGTCCCTTCTGTTGAAGGAAATCCAGCATCCAGTTTCCTGTGGGGACTAATGTTTCTTCAAGGGATGATTTGTCCTTTCTCCTTGTGAAGGCAACTCTAGAATTAGTACATTGAAGAAGCACCGACTTGAGTTGAGAATGAACATAAGACACGAAGGACGAAGAGCTCCTTCCCCATCTAGACTGTTTCTGTTCCTCATATTTGCCCTAGTTTCAGTTCATTTCTGTCTTTAAGAATGTTTGTGATGTGATATAGGCTTAACTGTTTTTAACATCTTGAGCACCTCAATGAGTTTAAAAACTAGAAGCATTCCACAAACCCCAAAGCTGTGAGAAGGAACTCTACAATCTTCACTGCAGAAGATAAGGAGAATAGGTGCCAAGGTAGTAAAGAGAATTGATAGGAGACAGGCCATGCTACCAACATGGTGTGCTCACCATGTATTTTATGGGGGGGGGGGCGGGTTTCCTGCAATAAACCTCTGAGTGTGTATCAGTAACATTTCCTTCTAAGCTTTAGGAAGCTTAGACTTCTCAAGTTCACACAGCAATTACACAGCCATGTTGTGATGTGAAACTTGAGCTGCAACAGAAGATTTTCTAAGAATGGAAATTCCCATTTATTCCTGCTCTTTCTCTAGTTACTCCTTGAGGTGATGTACAGAGACCAAGGATGCAGGTATCCTTCCATAAGTGATCTAAAGGAATCTAAGCCTTTTCTTTTTATAGTTGTCATATTTATAGTCACTCCTTGGCACTGTATTTGGAAGTAAATTCAGAGTTATTTTCCAAACATATTCTGCTTTTTGAGAAAATATTAAAAAACAAAGTACTCTCTTTAAAATTTTTATTTGAGCAAAAATATTCATGTTTAAAAGTTAATCTAGAGCAGTAATTCTAATTTCTCAGTCCAAGGTTGTTAGGAACTGATTTACAGAGCACCTTCAAAAGTTAGTCTGTTGGCCCTTGAAGGGCTATATTTTCAAACCTAATAGTAGAATCAAATAAAAACTGACAATACAAGTTTATATTTTGTATAGTCATATATGCAATCACTTTTCTGTGGCCCATAGATTTTGTCTTATTTTATGATATTTTACATATCACTGTGTAGTGGTACCCCAAGCACATAGCAAATACATAACAAATATTTATTAAACTGAAGTGAATTAATAAATACCATTAATTATATCATTTCTAACATCCAAACCAGCTATTGCTTTTCAGCCTTTTGGTGATGCGCTGTGACCGGACATCATATTCAAGTTGATTAGAACCTTGGAAGAAATAGTAATGACCTAAAAGTGAAAATAAATTAAATTGTTTAATTCTCCTCCTGTATTTCTTTTTTAAAAAACTAGAACTGTTTTTATAAATTACTTAGACTATATGAGATGTGATTTGAGAATATAAGTGCTGGGGACCCCTGGCTGTGTATTCTACCCCGATTATCTACCCACAGGCAGTCAGACTCTGGGTGGAGGACTCACAGAAGGTAATGGGCCCAGGTAGGGCACACAGGGTCCTGCACAGAGGAAAAGAGACTGGCAGGAACTCTTGGTCCAATGAACAAGTTTGCTTAAACTGAAGTGTGAAGATATTCACAACAGAAACTCAAGCTTGTCTCATCTCACCCACAGTCCCAGTCAGTGGGGGCCTCTAAGAGGAAAAGGACTGAAATAAACAGGTAAAGAATGCAAAGAAACAAGGAAGTATGAGACACCAGGCTTGCCTGAGTCTTTTGGCTGCTATTTGCAGCTTTATGGTTCAGTACACATGGTCACAGAATATTCCAAAGACTCAACCAGAGGAAATAGCAGCAATCACATTCCCTCTGCCTTCCAGACCACCTTAGAGATACACCATTGGTGGTATTTCCCGTTGCTCATTCTTCTCTTCCATCTGTTCTAAGCCTGGTGCAGTGTGAGTTTTCCCTCTGGGACTCTGTTGAGAATTCCAGAGTCCTGTCTCTTTCTAACTTAGACCTCATTCTCTGATCTTAAAGTCTTTATAATGCTTTAAAATGGGATTTCTATTAACTTATTGGTCTCTTAATCTACTTACCTTTGAAATAGAAGGCTGCATCAATTTTAGGCTTAATTCCTGGAAACCATTTACTAATTAATCTGGGATAAGTGGGGTCCATGAGCTGTCTTTTCACATCATACCTGTGCAAGGAAATAACCCATAGGAACTCAATAAGAAAGGAGATTTTATAACATAAACCACCAACCCATCTTCTCTCCTGAAAGGCTCTTCTTCAAAGGGTTTTAATGGTATAATGATGAAAACCAAAGACTACAGAGTTCACTGATTTATGCTAAGTTCCTGTCAGACTCAAAACCCAGGCTTCCTGGCTCCAGTCAAGCCTTTCCCCACCACCCCCAATTCTTCCCCAGTGCTCAGTCCTCCTGGATAGATGCCTCGCATTGAAGGTGATTTGGTGCAGGGAAGGCCCCCACTGATCCAACTATTTTTTTGCCTGTCTTTGCCTCTTTCCAAAGCTATCTACAGAGACAAAAATCAATGATTTCCAGCCAAAAGGTAACAGAACGTGAGGGTTAAAGAGCTATGGAGACAAAGGGTTTTAGCCATACGAGTTAGAACTGAAAGCAAACCCTTTTATCACATCCAGTCTAGATAGTCAGGCCTTAGTGTTTTTCCTAAATACTCTTTTACCAGCAAATGAAAAGAATTCTGATTCTCTCTAGAGTTCCAGGTGGCAATTGAAGGTGACTGTCATCTTATTTTTAGTCAATTTAGTTTTCCAAGTATGTATTGCTTGCTCAGCACCATCCCATTGACCTTTAAGGAAAAGAAAAATCCTGGCCCAGACGGAAGCATGAAAGTAAATGGGACCGCTGGTCTGTCAGTGTTAGTAATGTCAGGCTGTGATAAACTACTCCAGTTTGTGGGCTCTTTGGAGGGTCCAATTTGCTAAAAATCAAAAGCTCTATTTCTCAAACAAGTTTGGTGAACAAACTCATGTCATAAGCCTGTGGTATTCAACTGAAATTAGATGTTGAATTTTAAATGTTCAAGAAAAAATAAAAGTTATAATGTAACCTGAATGCATTTTGTCATGCTTCTTCTCAATCATGCAAGAAATTTGGGAAATGCTTGGTTTCTTTGGAAGAGCATAGAAAGAATCCAGTGTAATCAAAAATAGAAACAAGACCAAAGAAGACAACCACTCAGGTGAGCTACTGGCATTGCCTGACCATCTGGTTTCCTGTTGGGAAGACCTTGTAGGATCTACTGTCACTCAGAGACTGGTGTCCTCGTTCTGCCTTCTGGGTCCAGAGATTATGGAAAGGAGTCTAGAAATCTGGACACCCTCCAAATGACTGTAGACTAAACAGTAGGCCTCACACATCTACCATGCCTTCTCAGTGTAACGTAATGTTTTATTTGAAGTGTTTCTTTTTAAATGAGATTATATGCTATCTCTTATATCAAAAACCCCAAAACACAGAGAAAAAAACTAGCTTGGCAGTTAAGTATTTCAGTACTGTGTTCTTTTGATATTTCTCTCAAGAAGGTGAATGACCTTTTAGAGTTTGCACATAAAAACTAACTTTAGGAAAACTCCATTCTGTGCCTGTTTTACATGTGTGGGGCACAAATCATCAACCATTAAATCTCACCTCCAATATTGGTTATCTACAAAAAAGTAGGCCTTATGGAGAAATGGATTGAAGACAGCCGCATCGATTTTTTTCACAGACTCAGGGAAGCCCAGGGAATGTATGCGCTTGGGAGGGTTTGGCTGTAGTCTTAAATCACTTATTAACCAGTACTTGTCATCTGCAGAGACAAATAAATTATAGAGAAAGAGAAAACACTGACATACTACGAACAACGCCATTCTTTTCCCAGAGTTCTAAAATGTGTTATTTGTTGTTCTTTCTGTTTTGTTTTGTTTTATTTTTCCCAAATGTTGGGGATCAGACCTTGGACCCCATTCATACTAGACAAACACTCTACAATTGGGCTACACCCCGTTCTATTTCTTGTTGTCAAACAAGGTTTCTGTCCTGTAGTTCCATGTTTTTTTAAATTGTAAGTATTACCACATTATATTTTACAAACTTCCCCCAGGATTTGTGAATATATTCTGTGTAGTTCGGCTACTTTAATTTGTAGTGCAGAGCTACCATTAAGAATATCTGGAGTGCTTTTTGATCTTTATCCAAAATGTAGTAATATTTCCCTAATTTGTTCTTCTCATTAAAGTATTCTCAATGGTAAAAATAAATCCTGGAATTACCTTTAAAAAGAAAAACTTGATTTCTGTCTTTAACTTCATAAGCAGCTTGAATGCCAGATGGCAATGTTGGCCATACAGAATAAATTGAACTAATGCCGGTGGCTGTACCTTCAGGAAACTTCCACCAGAAGAACCTGACATGAAAGACATTTAATGTTAAAAATTGTTACAGACCAGAGTACCTTGAAGTGTGAATGAGAAGAACTTGTGAAAAGACTTAATATTTCTTTCCATTACATTCACCTTGTTTTCCACTGATCTCTGTGATGCTATAGACATCATAGAGACTCTCTTTCTCAACTCTTTGATAATACCTTGGAGTTTGAAACCCAAGGTTCTACGGTTCTAGTCTGGCCCTACAATCCCTTCACCAATTTTGTAACCAAAAGGAAGTCACCTAATCTCAGGTGTCTGCTGAATAATGTTAAAAATGGGGAACATTTGTCCTACCTACCACATCTTAATCTTCCCCACTGCTCTTCTCCTACCAATAGCTGCCTCAATCTGTATTCTGAAACAGAAACTGTAAGTCATCCTGGATCTGTCTTTTGTATACCAAGAATGTTTACACAGGAACTCTTTTTACAGCCTTACTTCCAAACTTTACCACTTTTATCTAGGCTTAAATAATTAAATTCTACTTCCTGTCTTCTCATTGCCCAACCCGGACTCCTACTGCAAATTGATCTTTTGCACACCAATTTTCTAGTCAGTACAAAAATAATCACATTGCTTTCCTTCTTCAAAAATTTCAAGATTTCTCCACTGCCTACTGTGTCAATCCAAATCCCTGCCTATAACTTTCATCTATCTCATTGCAACTATTCTTTGATCAAAAAAAAAAAAAACCTAAGGACAGAACCCTTAATATTGGTTAGATATGAAAAATGCTCCTACCTGTCTTTAAAGAATAGGATTTTGTCTCCCATTGTAGTGACAGCATCAAAAGTCAAGTTGGGGTCACAGGCAGCTGGTCCTGAACCATCAGGATTTGGCTTGGGTTGGTGTGTCCCTGGGCCTCCTGAAAAAACATTTCAAGAAGTGTTTAGAAAACATTTGCACATTAGTTCAAAGAAGAAGAACAGTTCTCTTTAAAACTTTCCGTTTTCTTGTTGGAAAGCTAATTTAAGTTTTCTATAAAATTCATACGAAGCATATGATTTTCTCTATCTGGGTGTTTTTTTCTGGTTAAATTGTTTTTTTGTGTGCTTTCTTCAACAGGGTCATGTTATCTGGGATGGAAAGAACTTCAGACTTGAGGTCTCAGATTCTGCCTGACATCAACACATGACATCTTTTGTCCTTATCTTTAAAATGAAGAAAATAGCTCTGCACCTAGCTCACAGGATTGTCATGGGCTCAAGAGGAAAGACAGATAGGAAAGTTTTACCCAAATCCAGATGCTATCAGACTATTCATAAGAGCAGCTGTAGATGCAGAATGATAATGAGGGTCAACTCACCATAGAGGGACTGAATGCCACGTACATCATCAGCAGACAGGTGGAAAGTGTTGAGGTCAAAGTAACGGTAGTTGGGGTACATTATGGCGTTTGGATCCCTGGAGTGCCCAAGCCCCAAGGAATGGCCAAGCTCGTGGACGGCAACAAGAAACAAGTTTTTGCCTGAGAGGGAATCGAGCAAAAGGGGTAAGGCCAAGCCAGACACTGGCATCGCGTTTAACTGCCATAAAACATACATATTTATGGGGAACCGTGTGGTGTTTTGACACGTGTGTACATCAGATAATGTTCAAATCAGGGTAAATGTATCACTTCACATATTAAGCACTTTTGATAAAGCATTCAAAATTCTTTCTTCTACCTTTTTCAAATATATAGTCCATGATTATTAACTGTAGTCACCCTACTGTAAAATAGCACACCAGAACTCCTTGCTCCTACCTGAGAGTACCTTAGTACCCGTAGATCAACACGCCTTCCCCACTCTCTCTAGCCACCATTCTACTCTCAACATTTTAAGGCCGACTTTTTTAGATTCTACCTATAAATGAGACCTTAGAGTACTTGTGTTTCTGTGCCTGACCTTTTCAGATCACATAATGACTTCTAGTCCCATCTATGTGATAGGTTTTCATCTTTTTATGGCTGAATAGTATTTCACTGTGTGTATGTACCATTCTTTATCCATGGACACTTGTTTCCATCTATTACTTCGTCATTTTGAAGACAACAACACAACATCTAACACAGTGAAAGAGAAGCATTTAAGAATCCTTTACTTAGTTCCCTACTTTCTTAAATAGACATTCTCAACCCTAGTATTATTAACAATATAGATCAAATATTTCTTTGTTTTCAGAGCTATCCTCTGCATTGCAGATGTTCAGCAATCTCTGGTTGAACTACTAAGTGCAAGTAGCAGACTCCCTTCCAGTTTACATAACCAAAATATATCTCTAGTCATTGTCAAAATGGCCCCTTGGGGGCAAAATTGGCAGTCAAGAGCCAAACAAGTGAAATATATTGTCGTGAAAATTCCTAGAGTAAGTGATAGCTGTGTTCAGTCATTCTCATTGCTCCTCAATCATTTTAAAAGTCAGGTGCAGTGATATATGCCTGCAGTTCCAGCCACTAGGGAGACTAAGACAAGGGGTTTGCTTAAACCTAGGAGTTTGAGGTCAGCCTGGGCTTGGAAACAGTGAGACTCCATATTTTACAATTTGGCTTAAGCCTGAATTTATCCTATAGTCAAGGGGGGGAGAAACGGCCCAAACAATGTATGCACATGTGAATGGATAAAACAGTAAATAAATAAATAAAATATCCTATAGTCAAATCTCCTAACACTTTGTAGGAACTGCTACCATTGGTCCTCATCTCTAAATAATGGATTTCTCTGTGTGCTCTGTTTCCTACTACATTGTATTGTGTCCTTTTCATCTCTGTATTTAAACACCCTATTAACCACACCATAATGGAAACTCAGTAAGCATTGCCCTAACTGTTCATTTAACTTACTGGGTGAAATTTTAGGCCAAGAATGAGTATTTTAAGTTATGATATTCACAAACAGCTTAACTTTTTGAAAGCCTAGAGTCAATTCAGTTTTTTAGTAAATAGGGCTCAGAGCAAGAAATGCATGTTCCAGCCCCAGCTTTTCCAGACACTAGCCAGTAACCTCTTGGCCTCAATTAATCTAGAATTTCCAATACAGAGGTTAGGAAGGCTTCTGATAGGATGGTTTGAATTTTCCCATGCTGATGATTTTTTTCCCCAAATAGTAGGCAAGCTTAATTACCCTGAGAGGGTTGACGAGTTATAGTCAGGCCTTCTCTAAGTGCACACAGGTATTGTTTGTTGATTAGCTGGACTTTCGGAAAATTTTATCCCAGGGTCACACAGACTTGTGTTTCTCCCTAGGGAATCTCTAAATTCCTTATAACTTTATCTTTCTGTGTCACTATGAACCTAACAAATTGTCAGCACACAGTGAAACACACAATCACCTTATTCTATGACTTGGAACACAGAATATTAGTGTTTGTGTTTGCTTTTGAGTTTATTGATAAAACACTAATGGCTTTTACCTCTCCATGAGTTCACACTAGTGACCTTGTTCATAGGATGCTCATATATTCTTAGAGTTGATCATTAAGATAATATGGCTTAATACCTTTAGTTTTTAGGGAATGAAATTGAGATACATGTAAAATATTAAATTTGATTTTGAGGCAAAGTTACAATCAAAATAGGTCATGCTGTAATTTTTTATCAGAATGCACCCTTTCAAAAATCAGGACATATTTGAAACTTTGTTAGATTTAGTTTCTGTTTATGTCATGTTTATTTTCTCCTACCTTGGATGCTTTTACTCCACGTTTCTGCCTCATCAAAGTGTGCATCTCCTCCAATACCAGATCCAGGTCCAAAAGCATGGGCCAAGATTCCATCCTTGCCATCAAAAGAATTGAAGTCACCATGATCTTTTTAAAAGAGGAAAGAAAATGAGTCCTTTTATGCATGTCATAGGTCCTGATAAGTGATGCAGAAGAAATCCAAGTTCTTTACCTCTATATGCAAAAAGTATCACAATGTCAGCCTCGCCTGCATTAATCCTTCTGAATTTCAAGGGCGTCACATCACTCCATACTTGAAAAGCTTTCTGGATGGCATAGTCAACATCCTCACGCTTCATGTCAGGAGTATAATTATGGATTCTTTATCAGAAAAATGAGAGAAAAAACATGGAAACCATTGTCAATTTTGTTGGAAGATGAATTATTTCTTAAATCAAGAATCTAGATAAGAAAAACTTGCTTATTTAAGTAAAAAACCATTTTTCCTTAGACAACTTTTTCCTTAACAGAAATCTAACTTAATTCCTCCTTATTTATGACTTACAGGTATCATTGTGAAGGATTTACTTTCTCAGAAGAATACACCCCTTTCTCCTGCTCCCAGACTTCCACATTTGTCCATTTCGAATACTCTATAAACCTCTCTTACTTACAGTCAATTCAGCTTTGTTCTTTTGCTGTTTTTCTACTCTGCTCTAGAATGACTGGCAAGTCAAGCAATTACAACTCTTCTTTGAGTGAACAACCCTTCCTTCTAGAGATACTGAATTTTAACAGAGTTAGTGTGAACGAACTCTACTACTCATCTATAACTTCCAGAGATGAGTGATAGCATGTCTAGCTTTCTAGAAGTCAAACCAATGGGAAAGTAGGAAAATACATGGCTCCCAACGCTTTTATTACCTGTAGGTGAGAGAACGTTTGTTCCACACTGGCCTCTGTGGCATTGTTGTGAAATGCTGAGCGTCAGGCACTCCACATCTTGGTGTGTGCATCAACTCCAGCGTAGAGCTGTCTAGCTGCCCAGTCACCTTTAACCCAAAGAACTGCTGCATTTCCTGAATTTTTTCCTCTAGGAAGTTGTTATTGATTTTCATTTTTGTCATTGGAGTTCCATCCTGAAGGTTGTAAAAGTTTGACAAGTATTCCTGAAAAAAACCACATTCAGTTATGCATAATCATATGCAGAAAATTTCTGTTGGGAGCTCAGCATACATGAATCAGCTGCACACTGAGGTTTTTGAACCAGCCATTGTAATTGAAGGTTAGGTTTTTATTATTTATTTCATAAATCCAAATAATAAAATTAGCAAATTTTGCTAATTTTCCTAATTATTTATAATAAGGAAAAAATTTGTCTTCTGTGCTATCAAAAGGCATGTCAAAAATTATTAGCCAGATTTGTTTCCAGAAGTCCAGTAGAAAAATCTTTTTGTTTCTACTTCTTCAACTTCTTTCTACTTTTTAGAAGCTACTTCAGCATCTAGCCCATCATAACATTCAAGTGGCAAAATCTTTCTGGTTAAAATGCTTCAATTGTTAATTGAATTTGGAATGAAAACATTGCTTAGCTGAAGTGGTTGAGCACTCGTCTAACATGCTAGCAGCTCTGGGGTCAATCCTCAGCACTGTCAAAAAATGTGTAAAGATAATTTTAGAAAACAGAGCTGGGTGTGTACTCCAGAGGCTGAGGTGAGAGGATCATTTCAGCCCACATTCAAGGCCAGCCTAGGCAAGACAGCAAAACCCTGCTCTAAAACAACAAAGTATGATAGCTTTAGAAAATAGGACATTAAAGTCTTTTAATGAGGGGAAAGTTAAGAATTAAAGATATTCAATTTCAAAAATACTTATGGAGAAATATCTCAGATGAATGACAAAGGAAGTAGGCCAAAATGATCATGGCAGCCTGAAGAGGCTAAACTGGTAAAGCCATCGTTCTAATCTCAGATTCTTTGCTGGCATCAAATGACTAATGTAAAATATTGTAAAAGAAGTGAGCTACAATTATATTGAACTAATATTCCTTGGACAAAGCCTTTTAGTACAAAAGAAAAATATTCCTCACCAGTTTCATAATACTCCTTCAAAACCAATACTTCCTTTTAATATTCCTCTATGGCAAAGAAAAACCAATACTGGAAGCAAATAGCCTCCTAGCTCAGTTTTCAAATACTCCTTTTCAAAAATAAAACTTGTAAATGCAACAAATCTTAAAGACAAAAACCAGGCTTGATCAATACTATAATGTTAATACTTACTATAGCAAATGTCACATCAATTTTTTCTATGCTTCTATTATCATGGGTCAGGGGAGCAGCTCCAGAGGCAGGAACCTGCAGAACTAGAATCAACAGAAGAAACTTCATTGTGAACGTCTGTCTTCAGAAGAGCTCAGCTCAATTTACTCAGCTCCCTTACTACAAGTTCCTTAAAATGTCCTTCTTTATATAGCCATTAGGCCAGGCTCTGTGAATATGAACTCCTTTGAGTGACTCACAGTTGATATCATCCTTTGATTTATCTTGAAACCATGCAAATAAAAGCATGAACTTACTCAACTAACAGTGGATCACTCACGTAGGCATCTCAGAGTACAGTTCTTCCAAAAAATAAGTAACTTCTACCTAATCTATACAAAAAGTCCCTGTAAAACAAAGAAACAACAAAAACAAAACACTGAAAAACCAAACATTTAAAATATAAAGATAACTGAAAACATATTTCTAGAAAACTTAGTATTCTCAATATTCATTATAGTACTTTCCTTATATTCATTATAGATAAAATATGTATTTAAAGTTTAAAGATCATGTCATTTTTTTCTAGAATAATTTTTCTAGAATAAAGCTGAATCTAGCTCAAAAGAGAACTCTGATGCAGAGATTTCATATTTAGCAAGGGAAAGTTCACAGTATCGTCTTGCTTTGATATTTGTTCTATGTGTTATGCAGGCTTAGAACCTAATTATATTACTGGAGACCTTCAGCCACTGGAGCTGAAACCAAATCCCAACTGTGCACCTGTAGAGACTCCAGAGGCAAACTTTGCCTACATCCCAATTGCCTGATGTTGGTAGCAACCTTGCGTGGTAGGAAAAGTTTGATCTTGAATCTCTCCGTGTCCTTATCAACTCAGCTTCCTTCCCCTGATCTAACTGTCCTGTTTCCACAGAATCTACCTCTTAGTTAGTAGAGTGTTTGAACACTGAAAAGTAAAATGGCAAGGAGTGAGACAGTTATGTAGGGAAAATCTTTACTCAACACACCTTTGCACCACGCCAAGCTTAACTGTCTTCTGACTCTATATGAACAGTCTAGTGGATGAGGGTGTGCATAATAATAGATTATAATTTAATTATTACTCTGACCCCTGCCCAGCCTGGAGAATGCTGACAGCTTCCTAAGTATGTTTCTGAGGCTCAAATCCAGGAAACAGATTTTCTTCTCAAGTAGGAAGAAAAGGAAGCCCTCCACATTTCATCTGGAATTTCACCTCCACACTCTGCCTTTCCAAGTTCTATGGTTTGACCTCTAGAACTGTCAGGTGTTCCAATTGAAATGAGGATTACAACCTTTGCCTCTTTATACTTTTGGATGATCAAATGAGACAGTGAGTTGTAAAGCACCTATTATGGCTGCTCACTAATATTCATTTTATTTCCCTTGACCTTAAAGGAGAAAATCAAGGCTGCAACCAGATGTGGCTCTAGGATTCATGAAGAGGAGGATCACATTAGAAAAATTTGGGGTAAGCCTTTCAAATATTGAACTCAGTTCAAGAATCATAAAAGGAACACAACAAAGTCGGGCTAGAAAGCAGAAAGATGAGATTTATTGGGAAATATGAGAGTAGCTGGCTCTCTACCACTGCATTGCTGGTGTTGAAACTACCTTGAAGTTAGGAGTTACGTGAAAAGCACTGTGATGAATCTAGTTGGAGAATGCTAAGGTCATTGGGGGTGAGCTTCCCTAGCGGGAGCAATCGTTCCACAGTGGACATGTCCTAAGTCTTACTAAAAGCAAGAACTGGTCTTGACTATGGCAGGAAGAAATATGGTTCTTGGAAGATTTACAGGAAGTATCTTTAAGTGTAGGATGTAAGAATACTACCAAAGATACAAAGAAGTGAAAGAATGTCCTCATAAAAAGTAAAAATAGACTGCTACACCCAAATTTTATTTCCGTCTGGGTCTTGACTCACTCAGTGCCCCAAATGGGTCAAATATGAGGAAACAAGGCCATTGGATAGCCATAGGACATTGCAGTGGTTATAATCTACCTTAGAATCTTGGCTCCATCATTTTATGACCTTGAGCATTACTTCAATGTCTTGAAGACAGTATTTTCATACCTAGCATTTGAATTACAATTGTTTCTACCTCTAGATATTATAAAGATTACACTAAATATAGGGAAAGTATTTAATGACTGCCTGAAACTCCTTAAGGGTTCAATGATTGCTATCTTCCTTTATTGCACTCTTCTGTAAGGTATTTTTAAAGCAGTTGGTAATGGGGATAAGGAGGGAGATCAACCACCTGCTCAGGTCTTTCTCCTGAGGTAAAGTAGCTACAAAAATATTATGATCCAGACCCAAAGTGGAAGCTGAGAATCCCAGGAGAGATGCTGAGGGAAGTGTCAATCAAGGGGTCAATGGCAATGACAAAACTGTCTTGGAGATAGCCAATGTTGATGATGGATCAGGTTCGTAGGGCCCCTCCTGCCCCAAAGAACTAGAGCATGACTTTGCAAGGAACTGCCGTTCAGCTTACCTTTCTAAAGCAGAGAATGTCAGAGGTTATATGTGTACAACATAACGTAGAGACAATGGACTGATAAATACATATATGCTGTTAGTGAATTTTTTATTTCCCTTTTCTGGGGCTGGGGACATAGCTCAGTGGTACAGCACTTGCTCAGCATGTAGGAAGCCCTAGGTTCACTCCCCAGTACTGGAAACAAATTTGCAAAATAAAGAAGCCTAACGTTTTCCTATTCCTGCTCTCCAACAAGTTAAATACATAAGGGTAGCAATAATGATTCAGACATGTTAACTGACTTTGACTTTGTGGCTTAGTTTAATGGAAAGAGCAAGGCTTTGAACATGGACTTGGCTTCAAACCTCAGCTATGCTACCTAGAAGCTGTAGTTGAATTATTTATGTTGTGTCTTTATCCATAAATGACTATTATGAGGATTAAATAAGAGAATACCTGAATGTACTCAGTATCGTGTTTGACCCATTAACAGCCTTCCCATAGTGGTTCTCTTTCCTTTGTTACATTTAGAGCATGTTTCTCAACATGGCGTTCATTACTGCTACCCATAAAGAAGTATTTGAGATATTTTAATGCCAGAGAAATACTGTGTATCTGTTTGTGTGTTGTATGTATATCTGTTTTTTATACACACAAAAAAATCGTAAGATGTTTTTGCCTCTTATGACCAGTTTTCACCTGGTTGGGGACCATATGACCCCATTTAGAATGCATGTCATATGGAACTTTATCCTCTATACTACTAAGTCAGTAGGTGACCCATGACACCAGTTCCATATACATCTGACTAGGGGATAGATAAATGTTTTCAAGTAGACACCCATAAAGCCAAGTAGTGGCATTCTTATTAAAAAATTGATCAACTATAATTGTTGCTCAGACTCACAAAGAAGACAATCAGTGTGCAGAGAGAGGAGAATATATCAGAAAGACTGCATGGTTCTCTTCAAGAGCTTAGCAAGAGTTCTGATTCCTCCCTGACATTCATGCCATGCATAACACTGGGCCCGAAGGAAACTGCCATCTCTGAGGTTTCCACTGTTACGCTGCTTATCACGTTGTCTTTAATTATTGGGTCATTCATCTCCATAATCATCACCTGCAAGCTCCTTCAAAAGAGGGAATGTAATTTTTTCATTTAAAAATAAAAAGACATCTTACTCAATGTTCTGGAAAAAAGAGTGTGGCAAGACAATTTTTAAATTACTAAATTATTTTTTTCCTATATTTCTCTCCTTTCCTTCAAACTCCTCTCAACAGCTAGCAGATTCTGTGTTTCTTGCCTCAGTGTTTGAGACCTGAGCTCATTGTTCACATGTTGACTCCTTTCCAAGAGCCTAAATCCACTAAGGAGAATATAGTTTTAAGGAGAGAGTGATTTTAGTAGCTGAGGGTTTACTTCAGTGGTACAGCTGTTGACTAACACATGCGATGCCCTGGGTTCAACTGTCAGAGTGGAGAAAGAAGGGAAGGGAAGGGGAGGGGATGGGAGGGGAGGGAGGAGGGAAGAAAGAGGGAAAGAAGGAAGGTAAGAAGGAAGGAAGGAAGAAAGAGAGAGGAAGGAAGGAAGGAGGAAAGAAAGAAAGAAAACAGAGAGAGGGAAGAAGGGAGGAGGGAGGGATTTCTTTTAAGCAGAGCCATTGAGAGTGGTGGGAGAGTCCATGGATTCTGGGTATCATGATAAACTGAAACCCACTGCATGGAAGAACTGAGGGATGTGGTGGAACCACAGAAGGAATAACTAACCACAGGAGGCAACAGAGAAGTGAGATCCTTGGCCCTGTGCATCTAACATCTCTGAAGCAAGTGTGGCATGGAAGCAGCAGTTAGTACTGAAAAGATATGCAGGCTGGGTGGATCAGTAAGGAGGAGATGGAACTCTAGGATGACTGAGGCTGAATTTCCTTCCAGCCCAATGATGTAGGGGCTTAGACTTGAAGTTAAACTTAGTGGGAAAAATGCAACATGTCTGGAAAATCCACATCTAGACTATGATTCATACATGCTGCATATCCAGGATAAATACTCAGCATGGAACTTTCTAGTTGATGGGTGTACTATTCCATCATTATCATCACTTTATTAATATTTTAAGTGTAGTTTTTTGAATCTTTTGTCTTATTTTTCAAGAAGGTATATATTTCATGAATTTATGTGATTGCAATTTATCTGATATATTTTATTGCAGACCCTTTTTTAGCCTTCAAAGACACAAAGGAATAGCATCATTAGACAGTTAATAAATAGATGTTTGACTTTAATGAACTGAAATGAAAATATGGAGGTGGCATCATTGGACCAGCATAGACACGTAATCACATTTCTGCAGCAGCTCGTCCCTTTTCCACGCATGTACTCAAATAAGGAGTAATCTAGGGCAAAATTGTAAGTAGTTTTTGCAGTCCCTACACCAATTCTTCAACCATTCTCATCCAGACAAACCTCTCTTTCTCCCAGTTGCACTTCAACAAATCTTTCCTCAAAGTATTTTCCAATGGCACTTGGAAGAGTTCCCTTTACCATGGATGTTTTCACTGCCATAGAGGAGCCAGAGGCTGTAATTTCAAATATTGAAGTAAGGCTTCCACT